GACCCAGCATTGCATCCCCTGTTGCCCTGCAGGTGCTGGGGGCTCTGACCCCAGTCCTGCGTTTGTTTTTGCAGTTGTTTAGATTTTAGTGACCGCTGTCCCTCCCATCAAGTTAAGACAGTCCTCCACCCAAATGATCAGTGCCTTGCGGTGATCATCTCTTGCCATTTGGAATTTGCCGCAAGCCCGTCAGCATCCCGAATGCACACTTCCTGTTTCCAGTATAACCCAGCTCCCCAGGTGCTTGGGGAAAAGGTGGGCTCTGCCACAGCCTGAAGGGTTAGCAAGTCTGGGCTCTGGCGGGCATCAGGAGGGAGCAAATTACAAAATCAAAGTGCCTTCCCAGAAGAGTCAGTTCACCAGTATTTCCCCTGAGGGAGCACCAGCCAATCTCAACATCCAAGCTCAAAATGATGGTAACCAAAGTGTTGTTCATACGCAGAGCTCAAACCCGCGTGCAACTCTCACACAGGGGTGTGGGTCACAGCAGAGGTCAGAGAGGCGACCTCCATGGAGATGGAGTAGCTTGTTCTTTTATTTACCCAAGGTAGATGAATTTAGACTGATTTAAGTTTATGCCTGTCAGCATGTTGGCTACAAGGAGAATGCACCGCCCCGGGGTATAAAATGTGGCTGTCCTGTGTCCCTTTCATTTTAGGGTCAGATCTTCCCTTAGGAACAGGTACCACAGCAGTAGCCTGAAACACTACATCATAGAACAGGCCTAGTAAAGTACTGTGGACTTTGTTAAGAAGGGTTAGTTTTCCTGTTAACAAGTGGGAGGAAGACCCTCTCCAGTGCTGGCTTGGAGAGCTACACAGTCACGGCTTCACAAAGGTCCTCTCGTTGTGGTTGTGGTTGGTAATGTATTCCACAAGGGCAGGAAGGTAGTTTCTAGCGGAGGACATTCCCTCCCCAGCCTGGGGTACAGACAGTCCTTCATGCTTCATTTCCATGGCTTTTAGCATATTGAGGATCAATTATGCAGATCAGAAGCCACCAGCAGAGTCAGTCTTGGTTCAGCATCCTGGATTAGTGCAGGAATGTGGATATTTCTCTGCTCCATGTTTACCTTCCTTTGCTGATCCATAGTGCACTCAGGAACCAGAAAATATGGAACAGTCACAGACTCACTTTGATAGACATAAAGTCCTTACGAAGATGAGTGCTTTGGTGTTTAACAGGCCAGATGGGCTGTCCTGCCTACCATAATTCATATTCCCCTTGTGAAAGTGTATTAACATTTGCATTATTTCAGACATGATGCTGTACTGCTTACACTGGCTGGCCAGAGACAGAATCACAGACGGTGGTACTGGCTTCACAGGACTAGCACTGCGCCTTGAAGTCTCCCATGCTATTACAGATTTTCAAACAAGCTCTGCACGCCACAGCCAAGGACAGATTTTTTCAGAGGCATCCAGGGGGGTTGCCATAGGGGTTACAATGGGAGATGAGCACTTAAAACTCTGGCTTCAATTATGGGTGCTGAGTACTGGGAAATCTGGCCAAATGCCCCTTGCCAAAATGCAAGAGGCATGCAGAAGAGTTGAGGACGGGCTTTCATTACTGTAGGCATTTCCCCCTCCCTTCCTAGCCCAGCTCACAGCTGTACCATCCCTTCTGCATCTAGACACTTGACGGCTGTCGTTTTCAAGGTGTCTGAGCAGATGAGGATCCCCTGAAAGAGAAGAAAAGGTTAAAAAGTCAAGGATTTAGGAAGACGAATGGAGGGAGGGAACTGCAGTAGTTGTGGCCGGCAGTGATGAAGTCATGGGTCAGGATCTGGGATAAAGGCTCTCAGATAGCATAGTGTTGAGCACAATATGAACACGTAGACAGGATTTCTGCAGAGGGGGCTTGCTGCCGTGAGAATGAGATTAAGCAACATTCCAGGGATGGGAAGAGAGAGAATCTTATTGAAAAACTCAGAGATATTCCTGGGTTGGTTGGTTGTGAGTAGGGTGATCAGATGTCCCGATTTTATAGGGACAGTCCTGATTTTTGGGTCTTTTTCTTATATAGGCTCCTATTACCCCTCACCCCTGTCCCGATTTTTCACATTTGCTGTCTGGTCACCCTATTTGTGAGCTAAATCTATCATTTTGAACACACCCTCCGTTCTTTTAACAGACCCTGCTTTTTGTATTTTTTCCCCTCAAGCATATACGCTTGTCTGCTTTCACTGCACTGTGGCGTCTCACATTTATACATCTCAGTGATGTTAGCCATGCATTTTGTGTAAATGAAAGAGAACCGGTGGCATGGGGCTTCTATAGCTAGAGCAGATGTTTAAAATACTAACCGGAAAACCTACTGACTGGTCCTGTGTCTCCTTTGCTGATTCAGACACACAGCATTTTAATGTTTGCAAAAACTGTCTTCAGTTAATCACCTTCCCCAGTACCTGACTTGTGAGGGGACCGCTCTGTGTTTCTGAGCTTACAGCCAGTTCCCAGGGAGATGACTATCAGGAAGATAGAGAATCCTTCAAAGGGAAATGGGAACATAAAATAAATGACAGCAAGTGAAAGGTTAAGACAGTTCAGCTTGGCGTGGCTTCCTGGTTTGGATCGGCGCTGCTTCCGGAAGGGGCACAGAACCACCACACTGATGTCAGGAGCGTTATGCAACAGGAGGGCTCTTTGGTGGCTGATGAGCCCCCAAGTGGTTGCTGTGCTTGTCAGTATTAATAAAACAGTTTGTGGAGAGCAAACGCAGGGATGTCAGAAGCAAGCAGAGCCGCTGTCAAACAAACTCCTGCACCGCGGAGCTCAGCATACGAGTCCTTAGGAAACCTTTAGATGTTTACTGTGCGCCTGATCCAGCCACCCTTACTCGGGGCGGGTGCTGCCTTACCTAAACGAGCATCCCCCTTGCTGGTGTCACTATGACAAATTCAGGCCTCCTCATGCCTTTTCCGTGTGCTGGAGTGGGTGGGGGAGTTGCATAGCACCGCTCACCCTGCAGGAAGGCGTGTGCCGTGGTTACACACTGGTCATTGCTGGAGATTAGAGACCTACAGACAAAGGGATTTTCCTTGGGCTGCATCATGTTCAGAGCTTCCCTGTAAGTTTGCAGGATACTTTTAAGCATGGCCGTAGAGCCGAGAGGACTGGAATCCATGGGAGTTAAAGTTGGGACCATCATCTCAAAGGCTTAGCCCTGTCTGCTGTGAACAGCGCCTTCGCCTGCAGGAATGCTGAAATGCAGGCAAGGTGGGGGAGGTAATATCTTTTATTGGACCAACCTCTGCTGGCGAGAGAGAGACAAGCTTTCGGGCTCGCACTGAGCTCTTCTTCAGGCCTGGGAAACTCACTCAGAATGTCGCAGCTGAATATCGTGAGACCAACCCAGCACGGACGTTACACTGTGCTTCTGTGGGCTGGGCATGCGCAGACTGCACTGCAAACACTGACTTTAGGGTGCTCTCTTTCCTCTGGCTGCTTTTTGTTTTTGTTTTATTGGTTTTGGTTTTTTGCCTAAAATCTGCATTCACCCAACAAAGGCTGCCATAGAGGAGAGACACCAGGTTGTGGTTTTCAAAGGGGCGTAGGGAATTGAGTAACTAACACATTTACTGCTCGAAGTGGAACTGTACAAAGGTAAATAACTGTGTACCATACACTACCTGCAGTTAACCTCCCCCCCCAGTGAAGTATGGACACCCACATGTGCACTCGCAGTCAGATCGCCATAGCACCGTTCATCTCTGCACAGCTGCCCCTGCAATCCAAGCTGCAGCCTGTAATTTGTCCTTTAAACACTGGGACTACTTTTCTTTACACTGAGGCCACTCGACAGCTTTTTGGCAATGTAATGGAGCCTTCAAGTGGATATAATTGAACACTGGTGCGGTGTAACCAGCCTCCGTGTAAACGCAAGCGAATCCCACGGACTTGGGTGAAATGGTGCTTAGGCTGAAAGTGGTGTAGTACTGTACCATACTCCTCTTCCATTGACAGGACACTTCCCCTCATTGGGATGGGAAGTAAAGAAGTGGCGAAAGGCATGGAGCTTATGAGACGGCTGCTGGCAGCAATGTTAACTGTCTGTCCAAATGGCAAATTACATAGCTGCTCCTACTGGTGTTCTTTTAAACAAGCCACTTCATGCGTGTCAAGCTAGGGCCATGGAATAACAGTATGGTAGTTTGTAGCAGGACTTGAAAAAATTCCCTGTCACATATTAGCTCAATGACAAAATAGAACTACGGTAGTTGAAAAATATCTGTATTGCCACTTATCCCTAGAGACCTACCCCTTTTGCCGCTGTCTGTGAAATAAAGTAAAATTATGTTATTTCAAATGAACTTCTAGGTTGTTTTCTCAAGTTGTGGTTGCTTTAGACTGATTTGGCTTTTTTACTTCCCATTGCAGTGGGCAATAATGCGTTTTGTTGTTTTTATTCTACATTTGCAACCTAGATTTTATACTTGGGAGTCACAATAAACACTATCTGATCAGTCCTAGCTAGGGGTTAGGTTCTCTGCAACTCAGATTTGTTAATTTTCCAATCAAGTTGCAACGCCCATCTTTCTTCTTGGGCATTAGGGTGGTAGTAGGTCATAGG